GCCACGTTCCATGCCCTTGGATTTTACTTAGTTCAGGTCTACATACTTAGTTCTTCTAATCCTGCCTCATAAAACAATCCTTTCAGCTTCTCAGTCATGCCTGCCATTTTTCTTTGAACTTATTCCAGTTTGTCTCCATCTTTCTGGTAATGGGGTGTCAGAAACGGAACACAGTGCCCTGGGTGTGGCTTCACTGAAATGGTGTAATGGAATGGGGGGCCTCTGAGGGTAGTGCCCAAGCCTGGCCAGCCCGGGCCTTTTGTCACTCTCGCAGGGCTGGGGTTGCTTGTCCAGATTTGGGACTCCTGTGTTCCTGAGCCACAGTGAATAGCCAAGTGCATTTCCCACCCCATTCCTCAGCTTTTACTGTTTTTCTGTGTGAAATGACACTTTTTCTGTCCTCTACTGTCAGCCGCCACATTCTTCAAGAAATTCCCCTCCCTCTTCTTCTTCCTGCCCAAACCAAAGGCAGTAGCGTTTACCTCTACTACTTACTGTGTGGGCATTTACTGCACAGTGTTTTGCATAGAGTGCTCAGTCAATTTTTTTTCCAGTTGCATAGAGATATAATTCTCATACCATAGAATTTACTCATCTGAAGTGTACAATTCAGTAGATTTAGTGTGTTCTCAGAGTTGTGAAACCATCACCATAATCAATTTTCCAACATTTTTATCACCCCAAAAAGAAACTCCTACCCATCAGCAGTCACTGCCATTTCCCCATCCCACCCCAGCCCCAGGCAACCACTCATCTACTTTCTGACTCTGGATTTGCCTAGTCTGAGATTTCATAAGAAGAAAATCACACAATATGTGGTCCTTTGTGACTGGTGTCTTTCACTTAGCACAATGTTTCATATACTTTACATAATATAGCATGCACCAGAGCTCCTTTCCTTCTTATTGGCCAGTCAGTCAATACTTTTTGAGTGGATATTCTATATATTTCCATTCAGCCCTTCTCAAAGTTTTAGAATATTAGAAATATGCCTTTAAAAATGCATGCAGTTTTGAAGGATATTTGCATTACCCATATTTGTATTTATATTTTTTACTGCAAAACGTATGTTGCTTGTGGTGTTAAATCAAACAGTACAGAAACATATGCGGTAAAATTGAAACTCCTTCTTCTGTCCACTCAAATTAACCACACTTAATAGTTTTGTGTTTCTCCTTCTGTACATTGTATTTATTTTTGTGTGTAGGCCCATGCATGTGTGTGTATGTTTTAAAATGTTTTTAGGTCCAAATATATAGCTCTCTCTTGGCCTCTTGTTGGCCAACCTCAGTGTTGACACTGAGGTTGTTAATAAATTTTGGCTCTTACAAATTGCCTTAGTAAACATGGTCAAAGGGTATATACAATTAAATTTGGTTAATGAGACCAAATTCTTCACCAGCCTATATTCCCACCAGTGTTGTTTAAGAGTACCCACTTCCTTAATCCCTTACTGACACTGATTGTCCACAGTCTTTGAAAGTTTTGCCAATGTGATGGGGGGAAAAATAAACCTATCTTGTTTAATTTGTATTTCCTTAATTATTGAGGTTGAGTATCTTTTATGTTCTTATTAGCCATTTGTATTTCTTCTGTGAGTTTTTTGTTCATGTCTTCTGCCTGTTTTTCTATTAGATATATAGGCTTATAGCACCAGTTCGAACTACACTGATGTCTGTCATTTGTCTTTTTGTATCTTCTCTTGTTTTCCAAACCATCACTTGTATTTTAATTTAATGTTTTTTTCTTTCTTCCTTCCTTTCTTGTCTCACTCTGCCACCCCAACTAGAGCACAGTGGTGTCATCTCAGCTCACTGCAACCTCAAACTCCTGGGCTCAAGTGATCCTCCTGCCTCAGCCTCCTGAGTAGCTGGGACTACAGGTGCATACCACCACACCAAACTAAATTTTTTTACTTTTAGTGGAGATGAGGTCTTGTTTGCTCAGGCTGGTCTCAAACTCCTGACCTCAAGCTATCCTCCCTCCTCGGCCTCCCAGAGTGTTGGTTTACAGGCCTTGAGCCATCATGCCCAGCCTTAATTTAATTTCTATTTCTCTGTCTCCACGCAGACGTTTTAAATTTCTGTATAGTCAGATTTGCCTTTTTTTATGATTTCTGAATTTAAAAGCATTTACTCTCTCCTCCCCCAAATAAAAAGCACTTACCTGTTCCCTAGCCCAAGATTATAAAAATATGTTCCTAAATTTACTTCTAGTACTTTCAAGGTATAGTTTTTAAATTTAAATCTTTAACCAGTTTGAAATTTATATTGATATATGTTATGAGCAGGAATCCAGCCATAGATGGGCACAGTTGACTTAATACAGTTCAATGATTTCAAATGCTTCCTGAGAATATTCTAAATTCCACTGATTAGTGTTATCAATACAATCCTCTTCTAATTGGTATACTTTTATAGTATGTTTTACTATCTGGTAGAGCAAGTCTCACATGGTTCTTCTTCCTTTAAGGTATTTTTCTGGTTCTTCTTATATATTTATACCTCAGGACAAATTCTGGAAACAATTATCAAATTCTGAAACAGCCTCTGGGATTTGGTTTGGAAATGTATTTACAGTAGACTTTTAAGTGAAAAAAAAATCATTTAACAAGTAATCTATATAATATGATGGCCATTTTGTTTCTAGAAGGTATGTGTATATATTAAAACAAAGTCCCAAAGAATATATGACAAAATATAAGATAATGGCAATATTATAGGCAATTTTTTTTCTCGGTGCTTTTCTTTCTTTTCCAATTTTTTACATTATTTTTATAGCACTTTCTAAATCAGGGAGAAATCCTGACAAAATGTTATTAAACTAACTAACATGTGTATCCATCATAACCTCATGATTATCTCCTTAATATAACAGAACCCAAATGATAATACCAAATATTTTGTGGGAAATAAATATGTGACTTGTAAAGAGTGAAGTGCAGAGACCTGGCTAAGAGTATAAACCCAGTTGTCTAGAATATTCCTGGGAAAGATTGAGGTGGGAAACTGAAGCAACCCAGCCCCACAGCCTTCTACCTTTGCGTGGTTGACACTGCAGAGACTTGAGGGTTTGTAGCCTTTTCACTTGGCAGGATTTCTGGGTTTTCCGAGCAGCAGATTTACAAGGCACCTGGTCTCCAGGCTTTCCCCATTTAAGAGATTCTTATTCGTGCGACACAGCCAGACTTCGGTTTAAATCTAGCCCTTGAATGTCCTGATCTTTTAGTCAACTTTTAGCAAAAGGGAGATTGCTAGGCCTATTTCTAACTCTTTGATATATTTGAAGAAACACCATGCTAATTCTTGGCTCAGAGCATCTGGATGCTAACAGCAGTGGAATCAAAACTTGGTTCTCTTTGCTTTTCAGTTTATGTGCTCTTTCTGGGTGATCTTATCCATTTAATAACATCAAGAACAATAATTTTAACATCCAACATTTATCAAGGTTTTTCCATGTGTCAGACATTGTACCGTACTTTATATGACTATCTCATTAAATCCCTAAAACAACTCTGTAAGTGTTGTTTTTGCCCCATTATACAGATGAAACCAAGGCCCAGAGAGGTCAAGATCACATAAACTAATAATTGGCAGAGCTGACACTGAAACCCAGGCTGCCTAACTCCACAGCCTATGTTCTTAACTATACACTGTACTCAATTTTTAATTTTCCTCCTTTATTCCTTAAAAGCTGCTTTGGTTCCTGTATTTTCAGCCTTATTTGTCCAATTTCTCCAGTTAGAATAGTCAAAAATTATCCTCCATTCTCCCTCACTCCACCTCTTGTCACTCCTGCTTTTGAGAAGTCTCAGATGCATGTGTCTTCACCATCCTCCTGGGCCCTTCCTCGGTCTTAGCCCTCCCTGACTCCCACCTGGGCTGGGAACAGTAACCTCCCTTCTACCAATCTAACCTCTTTCCTTATCTTCTGAGTTATCTTCTAAGAAAGTGAAGGTGATTGAGCCACTGTACTGTTTAAAAATTCTTAGGGGACTTCCTTTTTTGTTGTTTTATTTTGAGTTTTGGTTTTTGAACCAGATTAAATCTGAGGTCCCAGGCTTTAAATACACAGTCTGGTCCTATTGCGACTTTTCAGCTCTGTTTCTTGTCATTCTCCACCCAATCCCTTCCCGTGTGCTACAGCTGTCCTGAACGTTCCCCTCTTCCTGAGGTCTGTGCCAAGTCTTTCCCGGCTCCACGCACATGCACTGGTCTCTTCTGCTCAAAACCTCTTCTGTGTTTATGTCTCAGACACTCCTGTTCAGCTCTCAAGACCCAGATCACCTCCAGTAACAGCTTCTCGGACTCATCCAGGACGAAATAGTGATTGTTGCTATGCTGGGTGTCTGTTTACATATGTATGTCGCCTCCCTTAACCTGAATGCGCCTTCAGGGCAAGGACCAAACCTGTTCGCCATTCAGCACCTTGCACGCAGTAGCACTCAATAAATGTTGGTTAAAATGCCTGAAGGAATGTTAAAGAAGGTATTAGAAACAACAGGAAATTAGAAATATACTTACTTCTAAAAAAGGGACCATTTTATGTTTCTCAAAGTAATCTTTTTAGCTAAATTAGCAGGCCTAAGACAGGGGTAGTCTAATGTACTGAATGAAAGTGGTACTCAGCAAATGGAGAAGTCCTCTAAGTTGTACGTTTCCCAGTGCCAACGCCACTCCGCAGAGTTCAGATCCTAGCCGAGGTCACCACGCCCTGTCCCACCCTGTGTGCGAGCCGCATCCATCGGCGGGAACGCTCCACTCAGAGTGAGAGGCTGGGCTGAGGGCCCTACTCTGCAGGTGACCAGCTTTTGGGCCTCATTTTCATAAAGAAAAATTTGATATTTGTACACTTTTCTTGTGATTAATTTTGATGCAGGGAGATTTCACATAGATAGTGCTTCTCTGTGTCATTTCTTTACTGATGAACAATAATTTTTAACTCAGTACAAATAGAATTGCTTTGTTTTACCTGAAATCCATCTCTCCTTTCCCTTTCAGCTGCAGAATGAGCTAGAAAAAGGTGAACGGGACAATGCAGAACTTCAGGAGTTTGCCAATGCCATTCTCCAGCAGATAGCAGATCACTGTCCCGACATCCTGGAGCAGGTGGTCAGCGCGCTGGAAGAGTCCTCCTGACCCTGCTGTGCGGAGAAGCCCAAGCCGGGCGGCCAGGGAGCCAGGAAGGGAGAACTGTGAGGAACAGGCGCCCAGAGCCTTCTTGGCACCCAACACTGCACACGGCGTCCCATCTTGCTCACTTGAAGAAGTGTGACTCCGGCACCGTTTCTAATCTGTCATCTTCCTCCATCTTTCTGCTTTTGATGTGGTCTCTACACTGATTTTCTGGATGTCCAAGGTGGGTCAACAGCCGAGTCTCTCTGAAGAGCTGCCATCCAGTCATCGACAGTGGGGACCAGAAGCTGGTGGCTCTGCCCTACAGGGGCTTGGGCACAGAGCCCTCTCTCCTCCTGTCCTTTGTCATGAGAACAAAGCCTGGAATCTCCTTGGAGTTCAGCAGGTTGAGAGAATGCCTCACACTGGACCGGAGAGCTGAGTGTTCCAATATCGCAATAGGTGCTTTCTCCTAAAGGGCAGAAAAAAATCTCAGAAAGAGTATTAGAAAAAGAGAGAGTGGGGACAGAGTGAATAGGGACAAAGAGAAACCACCTCCTCTCACAGTCTGTCTGCTTCCTCCCCATGGGTGACGTTTGTATGGGGAGCCGGGGCAGAGGCCTCACCCTTCTCCTCCCCCAGGACTGGGCCTCTGCCCGGCCTCGCTCTACCCCTCAGCTAGCTGTCAAGACAGTGGGAGCAGTGACCCCAGTCTTTCTGTGCAAGACCTTGACCTTACCATATTAGTTGTTAAATAAAATGTCAACGGAAAGAGAAAAGGGGTTTGACATGCAAGGCCCCGTCATCCCTGCCTGCAGCATTGCCCCTCTAGAAGGTTCCTCAGGCTCAGGCTGACTTCCCCTGAATGTCTCTGGGATGCCGCCTGCCCTGTGGCACCCAGGCCCGCACTCCTGCAGCCTGGCAGGGGCTAAGGTTGAAGATCCCTCTCGCGCCCTTTCAGCCTTGCTCTTGGCTTGCCCTCTCAGAACCAGCCTCATGTATGCCTGGAACCTTCTTCTGGCACAGTGAAGGTTCCTTATCCCACACATTCCTTTCTCTGTTCTTTGACCCAGATGGTATTTGCGAAATGCCTACTGTGCACAAGTCACCATGTTAGGCATCCATTCTTGAAAGTCTCTTCAGTGAGGGAGCGGTGTCGTGGCTTCCAGGAGGCATGCCTGGTTGAGTCAAAGCAGTGACAAGCACATCCTTCCCCTCCCCCACCTTAATATAAGGTATCATTCTAGAAAAGTCTTTCATAAGTCAGCATTTCTCATCGATAATGACAAGGAAATTGATAGGTTTGAGGGGCCCAGTTGCCTCATTGCCTATGGGGTACCATTTGGTAATTGAGGATTTTTGCTGTTTGCTGTTATTACCCTTAGGGGGCTGTGGGAGGCCACTCCCTACACATCTGCACGAGCCTCGTGGACTAAACCCAGTTGAAGGTGTTGGCACTTTGAAGGGCGTTTTTCCCAAGCATAGACAGTGGCCATCGTGAATAATCAGGTCCCAAGAACTAGACCACCTAACCCACATCTACCACCCCTTTGACCACCTCTGCCACCAGAAGCCCACCAGACACTCACATCTTCTGAGGGGAGTTGCTGGACAGGGTATTAGAGTCTCACTGTGTCCACCATGACATAAAGAACTGAGGCGTGACAACAGCCTTCACAGGGCTTCGGCAGAACAGAGAGCAGGGTAGGCCGTGCCTGAAGGATTGGCCCAGCCCGGGCTTGCTGTCCTGCAGCTAGTCTGGCAGGGACAACTTCAGGCAGGTCTCCCCCTCCCTAATCTGGCCCATGTTGTCAGGCACAGCACCTGCGCCGTTGCCCATGCAGCGTGTGACTGTCACTGCACCTCCTTCCTTCTCTCGTTTCACCCTCCCCCATTACTTCTACTCCAGAAAACTTATGGAAGCCCTTTGTGACAAGTGCTTCTGAGAAGGAAAATTCTTGGAACAGACATCTCTGGGCTCTGTGAGCAGCAGGGAAGCTCTTGATCCTTCTTGAACTCTGATCTGGTATCTCAAATGATTCAGGGACTATTTGGCTAAAGTTTCATGGCAAACATGTCCTGCCTTTGTGTCACAGGAGCAAAGTCAGTGCAGTTTCTAGCGTTCCGAGCACCTTATTCAGTCTGGACCATCCGTTGGACACAGCTCTGATCACACTAGGACTTGTCATTCCATGGCCCTCCTCTGGTATCCATGGTTTCACAAGGTTGCTTAACTGCTACTGATAGTAGGGAGCCTTGAAAACTCACTGCTGGATGCTTATAATCCCCCTAACTCCCCCATTCCCCCATTCCACTCTTCCATTCTCCTTGCCCTTTAGCGCCTCAAGAAACACCCCCAAATCAAGGTCGTCATAAACAGGGCGAGAAGAGTGGGTACGAGCCAGCCCGGGGCCAGTGACTGAAGAAGTACAGTGTAAGTTTCTCATCTCCTAGACCTCTGTCCCAGGTGCCCATTGAGTTACTGATGAAGTATCTTAATTGAAATTTGCAAGGACTTGGATACCATTTGAAATGGGAAAGATTTTAAATGGGCTTTAACATATTCAGAAATATGAATGAGAATTCCCAAATTCATCTCAGCTCTAGCCGTTGTCCTTGCACCTTACAATCAAGATCCAGGTCATCTCTCTCTTGCTCATACTCGGGCTTTAGACATAGCAGTCTAGCAGGCTGGGCCCAAGGCCCCGCCAGTGTCTGTGGTGGCAGTGGGACGTGCTAGTCTGGTCAGTTAGAGTCCGTCTGGCTTTCCACGACGAGCCCATGGGCTCACCCTCTGCCCAGAGTGAGAGAAGAGGAGGGGGAAGGCATCACAAAGCCCTCGTCAGCTGGCAAGGTTGTCCCTCCCCTGTTAAGGTCAGGGTTGTGAAGGAAACCATGTCACCGCAAAATATAACTTTCCAAGCACCCCATCAGTCGGCAGTTGGATTTGCCGCTAGAGAGTCCTGCTCTTCCCGGAGCCATCCCGCCCCGCCTGGCCACCTTTCGGAAGCACAGGCCACTCTTGGGTCTTTGTGGGAAGAGTCAGCCCTCTGGTGGCATTTCCTGGGTGCCAGCAGAGCCCACGTCAGCAGCACAGGAGACTGCGTGTGTGCCCCCAACCTCATGTCCCCTGCAGGAGTCCAGAGCTGTGGGAGAGGGACAAGAAGAGACAGACCGCAGAGCAGCAGCCGCCCTGTGGAGCCTGCAGGGCCCACCCTGGGGCTTCTCAGGGAGGGACTCGAACTGCTCAAAGCAATGTTTCCAAGAGAACCTGGAGTCCCCATGTGAACTAAGGGAACACATAGGCAAGAAACGTGTGCGTGGAAATCCTTCTGAACAAAATGGCTGTCCTTACCCACTGTTTTTAAGCAAAAACTGTTTCCAAACTTTTTAGTGTCAAAACTAACTAAGTGTCTCCTGATTTTTCCCATTGTGTTTGGCGAGTGTTGTGACCCTGTCGTAGGTATTTCTCCTCCTGACTCGGGGGGAGAAGTGGTTTAGGGACTGATTTGGGGAGCGGGTTTTCCTCCCATCTCACCTCTTCTTCTGTCTCTCTGCTTGTCGATATTGTCTGTGTTACTCAGAGAACTGGGGCAGTTATGTCGTGTCCATTATTGAGATTATTAAAATATTAAAAAGTAGTTGTAGAACTGAAAAGTTAAAGAGCTTTGTTTTAAAACTGAAAACCAATGTCATGTTAACAAAGGAATTCAAGCTATGGGGCAGCCGCACTCCCCCCCCCCCAAGCTGGCAGAGGTGGCAGCTGGGCTAGCAGCTTGGGAAACACAGTGAGCACACCCCGGGCAGGTGGCTGCCTGGGGAGAGAGACAATTTCTGAGTAAAAGGAATGCAAATTTAGGGGCTCAGAGACTCAGGTGTGCCAGGACTTTCCTATCCGTCCTCGGGACCTGTTGGTAGAGGTTTCAGCTTGTTGCCCCAGAACCACCGTCCCCACGTCGGCCCCAGCTCAGTGTGCCTAATACTCTCTGGTAACCGGGGCTGGAGCCCAAAGCCCACACCTGGCGGGCCGCAGGGCCTCCCTCCTGCCCACTTGGTGCTATATCATCCAGTGGCCCGTCCAGGACGGCCACTCACAGCCAGCCTGGAGCCTGCAGTCCAGGCGGGACGACGCGCCCTCCCATCTAGTTCCTTCTGGCTTCAGGCCCTAGGTTCTTTCCCTGTGAGCTTTTTAGGCCCCAGATCTCCCGGGCCAGGGCTCGCTCTCTCGGCCCCAGAGATGCCGTGGTCAGGAAGGGATGTGAACCGTGCTGAAGGCAGAATCTGCACCTGGGCCAGAGCCGGCCCTCTGGGCCCCACACACCACACCAGCATCGCGCCGCCAGAGGTGCAGCCGGGCCTGGCGAGGGCGCCACACCGCCCGTCTGGCCTGCCCGCCCCACTGCAGGACCAGCCCTGGACCTGCCTCGCACATCCAGATGTCCGGGCTGGGCCAGATTCGCCCCGGGCTCCAGAAGAGAAGTGCCAGCTTCAGCGGGGGCCCAGGGGCCTGGGCCCTGCCCCGTGTAGCTTGAGTTCCTGGCGCAGTGCGCCGCTGCCTTCAGCTGTGCGTGTGTCCTGCTGGAGTTGCGGTACTGATGGGGTGATGTACGAAGAATTGTGCTACATTCAACTTGGCCTTGATAATTACTGTAAACACTTTGTTCATTTTTTTCTTTTTTATTCACAAACTAAATCCATCAGGAAATTATAAAGTTATTTAAAAATGATGTACCGTGTCCTTTGAGTCTCACCCTCGATCATCCAGGCGAGAGTGTCCTTAAATGCTAGAAAAGCAGAAGCCAGTGGTCCCCATGAGGCCGACCCCAGCAGCAGGTGACCCGAGAGCCAGGGCTGCCCAGCCCTGGACGGGCGGAGAACTTGCGCCTCGTCCGCAGGCCCTGGCGCGGTCTCAGGAGAGCGGCCTCCTCTCGCCCCACCGCATCTCGGGGTGCAGCTCCCTCGACTGCCTTTCACGGCCATCCCAGCTCCCTGTTCCTTCACGCCCGAGGCGGAGCCAGGGTCTGCATTTCTGGTCTCGTCTTCCAGAGCTTAGTGGAAGGCGTCGCAGACATCCCATCCTGAGAGGGCTCTGTTCAGAGCCGGGACCCGGTGAGGGGTGAGTTCTGACGCAGTGGCCGCGGCTTGCGGCCGTGGCAGCCAGGGCACGTGGGAGCGCCAAGAGGAAAGGGAGGCAAGACCCTGTGCTTCCAAGTGGTGGTCATTTCCCCTTTGATGCTGGTCTTGGCCTTATGCGCAGTAAGAAACTATTTAGGGGATTTCTCCATGAGAATTGCTTTTCTGCTTGGCTTCATTTCTGTGTCTGCCCCAGAAGGGGACCAGAAAGCCTGTTCCTGCATTCCCTCCCTCTCCCTGGCTGTCCTGTCGCCCACCAGGCATCGGCAAGACAGTCCCACGTGTGCTCCTGGTTCTCCCAGGGCCTGGCGCTGCCCTGGCCCCGTCTCCAGCCAGAGCCACCGTCGGGCCCCTCTGCCTGGGGCACGGGTGCTGGGCATGGGCTGAAGGGCCGAGTTGCTCGTCATTTCGTCACACAGAGCAGAAGTAGTTTTACTGGCAGAACGTGTCATCCTGCGCAATATAAAGTCACAACCACAAGCAGATGTGTCCACAGAAAGCTGTTGGAGTGCACTGGCCAGCTGTTTTCCAGGGTTCTCCATTCATCCCTTTTTGCTGTTTATTTCTTTGCTCTGGTCTGCAAGCACCCAGCTGCAGACAAGTGGACGCGGAAGCCGCAGGTATGAGGAAATATTCGAGAGAACTCTGAAGTGAGAGCTCCATCCATTGACATGGCTCTTCTCTGAATTGGGAAGAGACCGCTATATTTACTTATTTATTTATTATTTATTATTTTATTTTTGAGGTATAATATCTCAAGGTGCCTCAAAAATGACTGAGAACTGGTTAGGCCCTGGGGGGCTGGTCACAAGAGGCTGGTTTGGGATCCGTGAGCTCCCTGGGCGTCCTGAACAGAGCCGGGCCGCGCGGCGGCACCAGAGCCTCTGTCTCGCCCCCTCTGTGAATGCAGGCCGCCTTCCTCCACGCCACAAGACTCAAGTCATCACGAAGATAATACAGGATTATGTTTTTCCTCTTTGAAAGCTCCTTTCAGAGTGTAGTATAAAATCGCTTTGTTCACGTCTGCAATTTGCTTGACGGTGCCCCAGTGTGGGAGCACGGGCGCTCGGGACTCTTGGGCCGTCCTCGTGTGTTTGACGTTGTCCTGAATAAGTTAGACATTCACACCCGCCAGTCGTGCCTGCCCAGTCGCCACACGTGGACCTGCCCTCACGGTCGCTGGTCGCACTCCCCGAGGTCTCCACGCCAGGGCTCCTCACGGGAGCTGTGGCGCTTGGCCACCTGCCGGCGCAGCGCCGAGCTCTTGGCGCCTCATTTCATCCTCAGGCAGTCCTAGGAGGCAGGTGCTGTCGTGCCCATTTTAAAGATGAGGGACAGAGTGGGCAAACGCCTTTCCCAAGGCCAGATGTCAGGAAGGAGCGAGGCTGGAGTTCACGGCCAGCTCTCTCCAGGGATGCAGTTCCTTGACCTGCTGCTGCGGCCACTTCTCGGGGAGCCTCCGGTCTGGTGGGGGAAACTGATCCCAGTGAACCAGGGCAGGAGCAGGAAAGCAGGCAGTGCCCCTCCTTTCAGATCTCCAACCTAGACTTCGAAAGATGGATTTTGCCAGTAAAGGCATTCAAGGTGAAGGGAGGCAGAAAAGATAGCATGAGCAAAACCAGGAGGTGGGAAAGTGCACAGCGCAAGTGGGACAGTGAGTGGCTGTGCAGCAGTGGGGTCTCACTGCCCGGCTCAGGAGCGCAGAGGAGGACGTGACAGGAGGCTGCCTGGGCCCAGGTGGTGACAGGTGCCCGGCGCCCTGGGAAGGGGCCAGCCCGGAGACAGCCTCACAGCACCAGAGGTCCCAACCCCTCCCCAGGACGGATGAAAGTAGGGAAAAGACCACACATCTGGGCGCATCCGCTTTGGAGAGCTACCAGCCCGGCCGCGGGCAGAGGCGCGTGAGAGGGCCCCGCGGCGGTGCCTCCGTCGGGCAAGGAGGGCGTGACTCCTCTTAGCACGGCTATTGCTGCGTGGCAGGAGGCGCGCCCTTTTCAGAGGTTATCATGTAATCTTCAATTATTCTACAGGGCAGTATTACTCACCACTGTTTTTCTGACAGAGAAGCCATTAATACAAATCAAAGATTAAGTCGTCTAGTTGCACAGCCAGCAAGTGATGGATGGGCCTGGGTTCAGAGCCGGGTCTCTCAAGTCCAAACCTGCCTCTGGCTCCAGACTCCCTGCAGCCTTGGAGGGTGCCAGGCGTCAGGGCACATGGTGGCTGGGCTTTCAGAGGACAGATGGAAAGAGCACGCCTGGCTCGATCACCGTCAGGGCGAGTGAGTCACCCCAGGACTTGGGGCTCTGTCAGGCTCTGGGCACCACTGATTTTCGGGAATCTGCTGATAAAGCACTGTGGACGCTTTCACCTTCAGGCCTGTGATGGAAAGGACTGAGTGTGCAGGCTTGCTAATGCCACGCCAGCCCTCCCCTCCAGAGACCATCCCCACACTGTGGCATCTGGGCAAAAACTATTCCCTGCATAAGTGCAGGGTGACTGGGACACCCTCTTCTTTCCCACCATTGCCACATGCTCACGTTCCTCCCTGCTTCCCAAATTGCACTCAGTGCTGCCCTGATTCCCTCTGGCCCCCTGGTCCTGGCCTCTCCAGCCCCTGCTCTCCTCAGCCCTGCTTGAGCCACAGTCCTTTAAGAGGGAGAGTTGGATGTGTACAAAGAAAACGTCCATCAAAAGCCTGCAAAATTCCACACCAAAAACCACCTCTGTCGTCTGATGGAACTCACACGCAAGAGACAGTTCCCGTCTGGCTCCTCGTGGGCTTGAGTTTTTATGGTGATAATTTTATTCTTCAAGGGGCTGTTGTAAATGAGGCTGTGGTGGGAGTCTGAGTCTTAACTAGTCCGTGAGCTGTGTGCAGAGGCATCTGCCCCGCCCTCAGACTGCTCACTGTGCGCAAGTCCCACGCATGGGGGACACAGCCGGGAAAGCAGGACTCTGCGGGCCGGCTCGCCCGCCCCTCACCGCAGCAGCCAGGGCCAGGCCTTGAGGCAGCAGCCTGGGCGTGCGGGCAGGTTCCAGGGTGAGTGGGTAACTGGAGGTGCTCCATATTTTTCCATCCTGAAGTTCTTTCATTTTTATCCTGAGTATTGAAGATTGGCTTTTAGGAGTCGCCATCTGGCCCTTTAGGGAAAAAGAAAGCATGAGAAGCCAGTTAGCTTTCCTCGTGCAAATGTCATCCCTGGGTCCCGTGGGGTTGGGCCCAGGAGGGGCTGTGTGGCCCCCAGGGAGGCTGCCGCCAGCTCCACGGGCTCCCTGCTCACCCGGGCACAGCCTCTTGGGACCCGTGGGTGTGGCATGGAGCAGGTGCTGGTTCTGCTGATTCGGAGAAGAGCAGCTCTCGATTTCAGGGCAAGGCAGGGCCTGCACTGCGGGAAACTTGGCCTCCAACAGGAGCACGGGGGCAAGGAATGAGGGGAGGCTGAGGCCCAGGAGGCTGGCTGGAGCCCAGGAGTTTGAGGTTGCTGTGAGCTAGGCTGATGCCACGGCACCCAGGCGACAAAGCGAGACTGTCTCACAAAAAAAAAAAAAAAAAAAAAAAACCAAAGCCTGGGTTCCTGTCTAGACTTTGCTGTTTATTAGGTGTGTGGTCTTGGAGAATTCATGTGACTTCTTGGACCTCCAGTTTGCTCATTTTAAAATGGAGAGCTGCTGCCCATGTCACAGGTGCAGGTAAGGGTGAGCAAGTGCTTCAGAAACGCCTGCTGGGCAGCATCCACCCTGGGCAAAGTGAAACCCTGTCAGCCTGAGGAAACCCTCGTACTGTTTTGCCTGCAGCCCAGAATCTTGAAAATGGGATTGTCCCTGCACAGAAGGTCATGCAGGTCTGACCAGACTCCGCTCCGAGGGCCGTGTCTGCAGTCCAGAGGCCTCTGCACACACAGAACTGCCACAGCGGGGACACCCAGGTCTGGCATGGCAGCGTCCCCAGGACGTGAGGTGCCGCTGACTGCTCCACGCTGCCCCTGCGCCAGGCTGTCCCTGCACTCACAGAACTCCAAGGGCACCTGCAGAGGCCTCTGGGCCTTCAGGGGAGGCTGCGCCAGGGCGTGGGCTGCAGGCGCCGCCCCAGGGGAGCCCTGTGTTTCTGCTTTAGGAGAAGCCAAGATGCCAATCTACCTGCCTCGTCTTCTGGGGCCACATCATCTTCCTGCAGGGATGGTCTCTTGAATAAGTGCTTCGTCTGCCCGGCCTCTTGGTCACTGTGACAAAAGAGACCCAGGGAGACTGGAGCCCAACATTGGATTATTTGGCCAGGATGTCAGTCACGGAGTTCAGGCTGCAGTGTGCAAACGACCCTGGTTCCAATATTTCTGAACTTCTGCGTGGACTAAATGTTGCAGAAGGTGCTCATAGTGCCCCCATCCAACCACCAGAGCGAGGCAGCATCTTGGTCTATATTTCCTGCCGCCCTGCACACGTGGCCTGCTTCCCTACGCCTGTGCCCTGGTGACTGTGAGCTCCCCAAGGGCAGGGACTGTGTCTGCTGGTGCCCTGTGTCTCTGCCCGCCCAGTCGAGCCCACGGTGCGCAGGCCCAAGCTCTGCATGGTCGGCACCGGTCTGTGCAC